TTAACGTTAATCCGAATAAACTTGTTCTTGTACTTTGATGAAAGTGGCCAGATGGATTTATATCTAGCAAATCCTTTTCCAGACTCCAAACGACAAAAGAGTACATTTTTGCTAATATTGGGCGATGTTACTGTTGGAATATTTTTCTTTCTTCGTGAATATTGTCATTACATCGAACGATCTGGTTACTTAATTACTCTTAGAATTTTTTTCAACATTCGCAACCATGGGATCTATTGGAAACCATTGAAATTCAATGCAAAAAGTGCCCAGTCTTTCAATAAAATTGTCCACTTAATCATGACACAGGGTGCTCGTCTCCTGATCACCGTTTGGTTCTATTCGATAGCATTAATTATCGTATTTCATACAAATTATCCAGCTGCATATTCAACCGGAGTTCACATTTTTTTCATACTTTGTATTATTCCTTCTGAAATTGTTACTCTTGCTTCGCTTATCAATGGACTAGTGAGTCTTGGAATATATCTTTGGACTTTTATTGCACTTTTCAATGCACAACTGGAAGCAATTAGAGACGAGATAAAAACTTGTCTGAGAAGATGTTCATTGAGTCCAGTAGAATTAAGGCGAATCAATGAAAGAGTGATTCTGTTTATGAATGAAATTGAGCAAACATATCGTCGCTTAGATTATCTTCATCTCTTCTTGATGGCACTTATTGCCACTCAAGCTGACTTTATGCTGCTACTTTCACTGATATTCAAGCTTTTCCCTGATTCCATTAATTCCCTCATCACAATGGGAGGAATCACGGTTCACTTTTTTCTTGTCATTGGCAGTTATTGGGCTTCAAGTTATTGCACAAAAGTAAGTTTCACTTTGCGCATTTCAATAAACTTGTAACTTATAATCTTAATATCAACTATTTTAAGACGTTAAGTATGCATGGGCGTTATACTGGACTTATATTGAATACAAAAGTAAACTGCTCTGCTCGATTCAAGGTATGTTATGATTATGATGAATTTCATAAAATATTTGAACAAGATTGAATAGAAACTTACACTCTATTATGTGACAGGCGTTAGAAGTCCAAAATCGAATCAACGCAAGACAAACTGGCATTGCAATTGGAAATTTATGCCTGATAACTCCTTTATTTGCTTTACTCGTGAGTGCGCTCATCATTTTTTGGGCAATTCAAATCAATACTTATACATTTTATTATTAATACTTATTTCAGTTCATTTTGGAAAATATAAACTTTATTATGCTTCTAGCAGTCAACATTAGAACGCTCGTTTGATATTTCGCAGCATCAATGTGGACATTGTACGATGAACGAGAGAAAAGGATTATTCGTTCCAATCATTGTTTCGGTTTGATACACAAAGTTGCTTCGAAACTGACTTAAATAGTTGAACGTGCCTAAACCCGCACAAAAATGTGTAATACTGACTTTTTAAATTAAAGAAACATTGAACAATCCATTTGAACTAAAGCATCAGAGTTGCTGAGTTAGCTGCAAATTGAGCATTAACATCTAGTGTCATTAGAACACATTGAGAACATTCAATGAAGTTACTTTGTACTGGACTTTTCTTTCGATAGTTGAAGCTCTTTCAGTTTTCTTAACTTTGCTTAAGACGATTGTCTTGATTACACGTTATACAGTTGTAGCCAGACAATATGCGTTAGTATTTTTGGCATTAAAAGTTTACTAGGTATTGTCTTGTGATAAAATAAACTGAAAATGGTAAAGACTGATCTGTTTTGAGGCTTAAAGTTGGAAGATCGGTACATTTACATTTACGATACAATCTGGTTTGAATTACTTTGACGATCTTTTCACCTCTCCTTGATCCCTATTGTCAAAATCCAATGGAAAATGATCAATCATCCAAGCTGAGCGTTTGAAATGTGCATCTAAAATCAATATTTTAATGCAACAAATGAAAAATGATTAGTCTTGTGCAGATTTGTAACAAAATGAACAATCAATATTTCAATTAATATTCATAACGAACCATTTGATTTATACACCTTACCGAATATATTGTCAAAGTTTTGATCATTATTGAATAGTTAACCAACAGCATCAATGGGTTTTGTCAACTACAACTGCTTTTCCATCAAATATAAAATTGATTGTAGTTTTTAGTAAAAATTCAAAAAAATGTAGTAGAAATGGCGAACAGTTAATATACGATAAAATCACTTCAACCTTTAAGATTTGCACCAAGAGTTGATTGATTCGATTCATTATATCACATTCATTGATTATCGTGCCTATGAACATTAAGACAACTAAATTAAAGCAGAAAATAATGAAACTTGATTCATTGAAATTAATTATCCAGTTACTTAAAGGACGAGTTATTGCTTCCAGATTGAAGAAAATTTATGTTTGACTTTTCTCTCATGAAATTGAAGTTTTCGATTCATTATTCAATGAAATTATTGCCAAAGATTGAAAACTTTAAAAGACTGAAAATCTCAAGCTTTGTTCAATACTGCAAGTCTTGCTCATTCAAGTTGCTTGCTTGGACTGATGAATCGGACTGTGCAACCAGAAAGGCTTTAGAACACTTTGACAACCTAAATAAGTTGATGTTGATTAGCTTACGTGGTGGACAAAAGCAGGAGTACGATAAACCAATCACTTGGAAACTATGGATTGGCAACTGGATCGTTCGTATGGCAATACTTGCAACTTTTATCCGATACAATTTGTTCTTGTACTTTGATGAAAGTGTCCAGTTAGATTTATATCTGGCAAATCCTTTTCCAGGCTCTGAACGACAAAACAATACATTTTTGCTGATATTAGGTGTTATTACTATTGTAATCTTTTCATTGCTCCGTGAATATTATCATTACATCGAACGAGCTGGTTTCTTAATTACTTTCAGAATTTTTTGCATCATTCGCAACCATGGAATCTATTGGAAACCATTGAAATTCAATGTGAAAAGTGGCCAGTTTTTCAATAAAATTGTCCACTTAATAATGACACAGGGTGCTCGTCTCATGGTTTTTATCTGGCTCTATTCGGTAGCATTTTTTTCCCTACTACATTTGAATTATTCAGCCGCATATTCAACTGGAGTTCACATTTTCTTCATACTTTGCGTTATTCCTTCTGAAATTGTTACGTTTGCTTTGCTCATCAATGGACTAGTTAGTCTTGGAATATATCTTTGGACTTTTATTGCACTTTTTAATGCAAAACTGGAAGCGATCAGGGACGATATTAAAATCTGTCTGAGAAAGTGTTCGTTGAGTCCAGTAGAATTGAGTCAAATAAATGAAAAGGTGATTCTGTTTATGAATGAAATTGAGGAAACGTATCGTCGCTTAGATTATCTTCATCTCTACCTGGTAGGACTTATTGCCATGCAAGCTGATTTTATGCTGCTACTTTCATTGATATTCAAGCTTTTCCCTGGTTTCATTAATACCCTTGCCACAATGGGAGGAATCGCGGCTCACTTTTTTCTAGTCATTGGCAATTATTGGGCTTCTAGTTATCACACAAAAGTAAGTCGCACTTTTCACAACTCAATTAACTTATTAAGTCTATCATTAAACTTTATCATCAACTATTTAAAGACGTTAAGTATGCATGGACGTTATACTGGACTTATATTTTACACAAAAGCAAACTGCTCTGCTCGATTCAAGGTATGTTATGATTATGATGAATTTCATAAAATATTTGAACAAGATTGAATAGAAACTTATACTCTATTATGTGCACAGGCATTAGAAGTCCAAGATCGAATAAACGCAAGACAAACTGGCATCGCAATTGGAAATTTATGCCTGATAACGCCTTCATTTTCTTTACTTGTGAGTTGGCTTATTCTTTTTTGGGCGATTCAAATCAATACTTATGCACTTTATTACTCATTTCAGTTCATTTTGGAAAATATAAACTTTATTATGCTTCTAACAGTCAACATTAGAACGCTCGTTTGATATTTCGAAGCATTAATGAGGACATTGTACGATGAACGAGAGAAAAGGATTATTCGTTCCAATCATTGTTTCGGTTTGATACACAAAGTTGCTTCGAAACTGACTCAAATAGTTGAACGTGCCTAAACCCGGTGCAATAATGGCTTTTTGATTAAATTAAAGAAACATCATTTGAACTAAAAACATTAGACTTGCCAAGTTAGTTTAGACTGATTTGTGGCTTAAAGTTGAAAGATCCTCACATACAGTTGATGGTATTTGGTTTAAATTAATTTGACAATTTCTTCACTTTCTCCTCGATTCCTATTGTCGAAAAAAAAATAAAAAAGATCAATAATCAAAGCTAAGCGTTTTGAAATGATCAGTAAATATCAATATTTTAATGGAATAAATAAAAATGATTAGTCTAGTAAAGATTCATAACAAAATGAACATATTCAATTAAGACACAAGTTTCATAACGAACTATTCGATATTTCATCTTACTGATCACATTGACAAGATTTCGTGCTGGAACAATCAACCAGAAGTATCAATAAGTTTTGTGACCTTTAATTACTTTTCCATCTCCTAAATCGCTTCAGTTAATTGATAGTTACTCTGATCGATATAAAATATTTCATAACAGCAATTATACAGACTTGATGGTGAATCACTCAAAGAGCACACATAATTGAAAACATTGAAAAAAGATCTTTGAGCGAACCAATGCAATCGTCAAAAGAAATGGCGAAAAGTTAATATCCGGCAAAATTGAAACAAAATCTCTTCCAACCTTGAAGATTTGCACCACGAGTTGATTGATTTGATTCATATTGATCACACTATCGTGCTCATGAACATTAAGATAACTATTGATAAATTAAATCAGAAAAATAATAAAACTTGATTCATTGAAATCAATTATCCAGTTACCTAAAGGTCTAGTTATTACTACTAGATTCAAGAAATTCATTGTTAGAATACTTTATGTGCGACTTTTTCGACAAATTATTCAATGAAATTGAACAATGATTGAAAACTCTAAAAAACTGAAAATCTCAGACTTTGTTCAATACTGCAAGTCTTACTCATACAAGTTGCTTGCATGGACTGGTGAATCGGACTGTGCAACCAGAAAAGCTTTAGAACACTTTGACAACCTTAACAAATTGATGTTCATCAGCTTACGTGGTGGACAAAAGCAGGAGTACGATAAACCAATCACTTGGAAACTATGGATAGGCAACTGGATCGTTCGTATCACAATACTTTTAACTTTTATCCGACTTAATTTGTTCTTGTACTTTGATGAAAGTGTCCAGTTTGATTTATATCTGGCAAACCCTTTTCCAGACTCCAAACGACAGAAGAGCACATTTATGCTAATATTAGGTGTTATTACTATTGTAATCTTTTCATTGCTCCGTGAATATTATCATTACATCGAACGAGCTGGTATTTTAATTACTCTTAGAATTTTTTTCAACATTCGCAACCATGGAATCTATTGGAAACCTTTGAAGTTCAATGCAAGAAGTGCACAGTTTGCCAATCAAATTGTCCACTTAATCATTACACAGGGAGCTCGTCTCATGGTTTTTGTCTGGTTCTATTCGGCAGCATTAGTTTTCATACTGCATTTGAGTTATCCAGCCTCATATTCATCTAGAGTTCACATTTTCTTCATACTTTGTATTTTTCCTTCTGAAATTGTTACGTTTGCTTTGCTTTTCAATGGACTAGTGAGTCTCGGAATATATCTTTGGACTTTTATTGCAGTTTTCAATGCACAACTGGAAGCAATTAGAGACGAGATAAAAAACTGTCTGAGAAGATGTTCATTGAGTCCAGTAGAATTAAGGCGAATCAATGAAAGAGTGATTCTGTTTATGAATGAAATTGAGCAAACATATTGTCGCTTAGATTATCTTCATCTCTACCTGATGGGACTCATTGCCCTTCAAGCTGATATTATGCTGCTATTTTCACTGATATTCAAGCTTTTCCCTAATTTCATTTCTTCACTGGTCACATTTGGAGGAATCTTGATTCACTTTTTTCTTGTTATTTTCAATCTTTGGGCTTCTAGTTATTACACAAAAGTAAGCTCAATTTTTACAACTCGATGCACTTATAAATTTGTTTAACATTTTATCTTAATATTTAATATTTCAAGACGTTAAGTATGCATGGACGTTATACTGGACTTATATTAAATACGAAAGCAAATTGCTCTGCTCGATTCAAGGTATGTTACAGTTAGAATTGAGAATTTTCAAACAAGATTGAAGGAAAACTTGTACTTTATTATGTTCACAGGCTTTAGAAGTCCAAAATCGAATAAACGCAAGACAAACTGGCATTGCAATTGGTAATTTATGCCTGATCACTCCTTCGTTTTCTTTACTCGTGAGTTCGCTCATCATTTTTGGGCAATTCAATCAATACTTATGCATTTTATTACTCATTTCAGTTCATTTTGGAAAATATAAACTTTATTATGCTTCTAACAGTCAACATTAGAACGCTCGTTTGATATTTCGCAGCATTAATGTAAATAACATACGATGAACGAAGGAAAAGGAAGATTCGTTACAATCATTGTTTCGGTTTGCTACGCAAAGTACTTAGAGACTGGAACAAACGTTTGAAAGTGCCTAAACCTGTGCACAAAATGTACAATAATAACTTTTAATCAAATTAAAGCAACATTGAACATATCATTTGAACTGAAAGCATCACAATTGCTAAGTTAACCAAGCATTTGAGCATTTGCATCTAGAGTCATTAGAACTCATTGAGAATATTGAATCAAGTTACTTTGTACTTGACTTTTCAGTCATTAGTTGAAACTTTTTCAGTTTTTCTTAAGACGAATGTCTTACACTTTATAGTTAGCAAGGTTGCGTTAGTATTTTTGGCATTAAAAGTCTACTAGATATTGTCTAGCGATACAACAAACTGGAAATGGTAAAGACTGATCTGATTTAAGACTTAAAGTTGGAAGATCGGTACATTTACATTTACGATACAATCTGGTTTGAATTACTTTGACGATCTTTTCACCTCTCCTTGATTCCTATTGTCGAAACGAAATGAAAAATGGTTGATACCCAAACTGAATTGCATTTCATCAAAGATCAATATTTTAATGCAATAATAAAAAATGATTAGTCTGCTGCAGATTAATAACAAAATAAACATGATATATCAATATCAATTAATAAGGTAGAAAGAACAAAATCACTCTTCAATCATTGTTGATGATTTATAACACGCGTTGATTGATTTGATTCATATTGATCACAATATCACGCTCATGAACACTAACTAAATTAAAGCAGAAAAATAATCAAACTTGATTTATTGAATTCAATTATCCTGTTACCCAAAGGTTTAGTTATTACTAAAAGATTCAAGAAATTTTATGTCAAAATACTTTTATCAAGCGCTTTTTCGCCATGACATCGAAGTTTTCAAGCAACTATTCAATGAAATTATTACCGACGATTGAAAACTCTGAAAGATTGAAAATTTCAAATTTTGTTCAATACTGCAAGTCTTACTCATACAAGTTGCTTGCTTGGACTGGTGAATCGGACTGTGAAACAAGAAAAGCTCTAGAACGCTTTGACAACCTAAATAAGTTGATGTTAATTAGCTTGCGTGGTGGACAAAAGCAAGAATACGATAAACCAATCACTCGGAAACTATGGCTAGGAAACTGGATCGTTCGTATCGCAATACTTTTATCCTTTACCCGACTCAATTTGTGGTTGTTTTTTCACCAAAGTGACCAGTTAGATTTATATCTGGCAAATCCTTTTCCAGGCTCTGAACGACAAAACAATACATCTGCTCTAATATTGGCTTATGTCTCTGTTGTAAACATTTCATCGCTCCGTGAATATTATCATTACATCGAACGAGCTGGTTACTTAATTACTCTTAGAATTTTTTTCAACATTCGCAACCATGGAATCTATTGGAAACCTTTGAAATTCAATGCAAGAAGTGCACAATCTTTCAATAAAATTGTCCACTTAATCATGACACAAGGATCTCGTCTCATGGTCTTCATCTGGTTCTATTCGGCAGCATTACTGATCAGAGTGCATTTAAATTATCCAGCCGCATATTCAACTGGAGTTCACATTTTTTTCATACTTTGTTTCATTCCTTCTGAAGTTATTGCACTTGCTGTGCTCGTCAATGGATTGGCTAGTCTTGGAATATATCTTTGGACTTTTATTGCCCTTTTTAATGCAAAACTGGAAGCGATTAGGGACGATATTAAAAACTGTCTGAGAAAGTGTTCGTTGAGTCCAGTAGAATTGAGTCAAATCAATGAAAAGGTGATTCTGTTTATGAATGAAATTGAGGAAACATATCGTCGTCTAGATTATCTTCATCTCTTCTTGATGGCACTTATTGCCACTCAAGCTGATATTATGCTGCTACTTGCACTGATATTCAAGCTTTTCCCTGATTTCATTAATTCACTGGTCACATTTGGAGGAATGGCGATTCACTTTTTTCTTGTTATTGGCTGTTATTGGGCTTCTAGTTATTACACAAAAGTAAGTTTCACTTTTCACAACTCAATGAACTAAATATAATTAACAATAAAGTCTATCTTAATATCAATTATTTCAAGACGCTAAGTATGCATGGACAATATACTGGACTTATATTGTACACAAAAGCAAACTGCTCAGCTCGATTCAAGGTGTGGATTCAGTTAGTAAACAGCAATAAAAATGTTGGAACAAGATTGAAGGTAAACTTTTACTTTATTATGTTCACAGGCTTTAGAAGTCCAAGATCGAATAAACGCAAGACAAACTGGCATTGCAATTGGTAATTTATGTCTGATCACTCCTTCGTTTTCTTTACTCGTGAGTTTGTTAATCATTTTTTTGGCAATATGAATCAATACTTATGCACTTTATAACTCATTTCAGTTCATTTTGGAAAATATAAACTTTATTATGCTTCTAGCAGTCAACATTAGAACGCTGGTTTGATATTTCGCAGCATTTATGTAAATAACATGCGATGAACGAAGGAAAAGGACGATTCGTTACAATCATTTTTTGGATTGCTACACAAAGTACTTCGAGATTGGAACAAACTTTTGAAAGTGCCTAAACCTGTGCACAAAATGTGCAATGATATCTTTTAATCAAATTAAAGCAACATTGAACATATCATTTGAGCTGAAAGCATCACAATTGCTAAGTTAACTAAGCATTTGTGCTTTGCATCTAGGGTCATTAGAACTCATTGAGAATATTGAATGAAGTTGCTTTGTACTTGACTTTTCATTCGATGAAACTTTTTGCAAGTTTACCTTAGTTTTGCTTAAGACGATTTTCTTGATTGCACGATTGTTACCAACTATGTGAAAGACTTTTCGGTATTAAAAGTTTACTTGCATTGTCATGCGCTAGAATAAGATAAAAATTGTAAAGAATATTCGTTTTGAGGCTTAAAGCTGGAAGAACGGTACATTCAGTTGCTACAGTTAAGAATATAAAATTATTTAACGATCCTTTTGCGTTCTCCTCGATTCCGATTGATTGTTGTAACAAAAAAATGATCGATAATCAAAGCTAAAGTTAATATTCAAAACGTTACTGACGAATCTGATCAAATCTGACGCATCGATCAGATCAAACAAAATTTGATTATCATGAAATAATCAATCAAAAATATCAATAGGTTTTGCTACCTTTAATTGCTTATAGTTAATTAACTCTGATCGACTGAAAGATAACATAAGAGCAACTGATACTCATGTCTGTCTTCATTATAGTGTTAATTGAATAAGTAATTTTGGAATCGAAGTCAAAAGTGAATAAGTGAAAAAGTGAAAAGTTATTATAAAACGAAAGAGATTTTTGATTTCCCTGATAATACAAGATGTGTATGTAATGTATTAAGAATATCAAGTGAAATTTCAAGCATTGTTTGTTTGCAAATTGTTTGCATTGGACGGAAAGAAAAATAATTTTCAATCAACTATGGAATCAAGAGATTCCAATTTAATGTTGAGTGATCGCTTACATTCCAATAAAATGGTTCGAATCGTCGGTTTATTGAAAGAACCTAATTATCGTCATTACTTGAAATCTTGCTTCTACAAACTAATCGGTTGGACGGATGGAGCAGATATTGAAACGAGAAGAGCTTTAGCTCATTTCGATTATTTGAATAAATTGTTTCTTGTGAGTTTATGTGGTGGACAAAAGCAAGAATACGGTAAGCCAATCACTCGAAAAGTATGGATAAGCAACTGGATCATTCGTATTGTAATACTTTCAACTTTTATCCGAACCAACTTGTTCTTGTACTTTCATGGCTGTCATCAGATGGATTTATATCTAGCAAATCCCCTGTCAAATGCTACGAGATCAAAGAAAATAGTTTTCTTTATTTATTTCGATGTAACCCTTCTGATATTGTCAGGGCTTCGAGAGTACTGTCATTACATTGAACGATCTAGTGTTTTAGTTCCTTTTAGAATTTTCTTCAATATTCGAAAGCATGGAGTTAAATGGAAACCTCTGAGATTGAATATGCGACACTCAAAGCTGTTCAATAAAGCTTGCTATTTCATTATTACAAATGGAACTCGAATTTCGGTTTTTATTTGTTTTTATTCAGCATTGTTGATATTTGGGATTCGATTATACTTTTCAAACTATTCAACATTGCTTCACATTATTTTCATACTTTTGTTCACTGCTTTTGAAATAACCATGATGGTAACTTGCATTACCTTATTAGTTAGTCTGGGAGTTTATCTCATGGCTTTGATTGCCTTTTTCAATGCTCAAGCTGATACAATAATTGACGAGATACAAGACTCTTTAAGGAAAGTTCCGTTGAGTCCTCAAGAACTGAGACAAGTTAATGGAAAAGTAATTCAATTTCTGAATAATATTGAGAAAACATATCTTCGCTTGAATTATCTTTACCTTTACCTGGAAGTTTTCATAGCCTTTGAAGTTGACTTGGTGTTATTTTTAGTGCTATTTACTGATTCGTTGCTCAGCACTTCTTTCATCGCTTCTATCTTTGTTGTAGGATCGCTTTTGATTCATGCTTTCCTTGTTATTGGAAATTACTGGGCATCTCGTTACCACACTAAAGTAAGTTTATCCTTTGCAAATTAATGCTGATCTGTAACATTTCATTCTCATGCAAATTATTTTAAGACGCTAAGTATACACGGATATTACACTGGACTGATATTGAACACGAAAACGATTTGTTCTGCTCAATTCAAGGTAAGTTTGGCACAAGAAAAGATCTCTATTCAGAATTGAAAAGTGATAAATCGCTTTCTAAAGCATCTCTTTTCTATTTTATCGTAAAAATCATCCGTGCAGGCATTAGAAGTGCAGGATAGAATCAACGGAAACAAAACCGGCATTGCAATCGGCGATTTCTGCCTGATAACTCCTGCCTTTTCTCTGATTGTGAGTAGATTGTCCTTTTATGTTAGTTTTGAACTAATGTCATTTCATCAACTCATTGCAGTTCATTTTGGAAAATATCAACTTTATTATGCTCTTAGCCGTTAACGTCAAAACAATGATTTAATATTTTACATATTGTAATTTGGTTATTTAAATGAGATGCATTGCAATCAAAGATTGATTCTATTTGTTATTCCAATGCCTAATGTCTAAACGAGATGAAAATGATCGATAATCAAAACTAAGCGTTTTGCAATGCTCATCAAAGATCTAAATTTTCAATGCAATAAATAAAAAATTGATTAGTCTAGTAAATATTCACAAAATGAACAATCAATATTTCAATCGATATTCAATTAAGACACAAGTTTCGAAACGAACCATTTGATATTTACAACTGACTTATCGATTAACAAAAATTTGATTATCATGGAATAATCAATTAGAAATATCAAAAAGTTTTGGCACCTCAAACTTATCAGCCAAAGGCTTATAGTTAATAAACTCCGCTCCACGTAAAAGATGACATAACATTACTTATTACCCAGTTCGTCTCAAATTATTGGGTCAATCGAACAAGTCAAGCTGATTCAAAATCGAAGAAAAAGTCATTAGTAGAAAACGACAAAACTTTTGATACCCCTGATAATATCATGCTCAAGAACATCAAGTAATATTCCAATTATAAATAGTTTACATTGCACAGAAAGAAAAATAATTTCAACCAGTTAACCAAGAGATGACAAGTTAATGTTGAGCGTTCACTTGATTCCAATAAAATGATTCGAATCATCGAAAAACGTAGAAACCCAAATTATCGTGATCACTTTAAATCTTGCCTTTACAAACTAATCGGTTGGACGGGTGAATCAGATGTTGAGACTAGAAGAGCTTTAGCTCATTTTGATTATCTGAATCGAGTATTTCTCATAAGTTTATGTGGTGGACAAAAGCAGGAGTATGATAAGCCAATCACTCGAAGTGTATGGATAAGTAACTGGATCATTCGTATTGCAATACTTTCAACTTTTATCCGAACCAACTTGTTCTTGTACTTTCATGGATGTCATCAGATGGATTTATATCTAGCAAATCCCATGCCAAACGCTGAAAGATCAAAGAAAATAGTTTTCTTTATTTTAATGGATGTTACCATTGTGATATTTTCATTGCTTCGCGAGTATTGTCATTATATTGAGCGATCTAGTGTTTTAGTCCCTTTAAGAATTTTTTTCAATATTCGAAAGCATGGAGTTGAATGGAAACCTCTGAGATTCAATAGTCGATGTTCAAAGATATTCAATAAAGCTTGCTATTTCATTATTACAAATGGAACTCGACTTTTGGTTTTTATTTGTTTCTATTCAATATTGCTGTACATTGCATTTCGTTTTTACTTTTCAAACTATTCAACAGTACTTCACGTTATTTTCATACTTTTGTTCACTGCTTTTGATGTTACCGTGATGTTGTCTTTCATTGTTTTATTAGCTAGTCTGGGAATCTATCTTATGGCTTTGATTGCCTTTTACAATGCCCAAGCTGATACAATAAGAGATGAGATTAAACATTATTTAAGGAAAGTTGCGTTGAGTTCAGAAGAACTGAGACAAGTTAATGGAAAAGTAATTCAGTTCATGAATGATATCGAAAAAACATATCTTCGCTTGAATTATCTTCATCTTTACCTGGAAGTTGTCATAGCCTTTGAAGTTGACTTTGTGTTATTTGTGGTGATATTCACTGATTCTTTGCCTACCACTTTTTTCGTCACTTTCTTCATCTTTTCAGTAGCATTTGTGGTTCATGCGTTCCTTGTTATTGGAAATTACTGGGCATCTCGTTACTACACTAAAGTAAGTTTATCCTTTGCCATGTAATGCTGATCTGTAACATTTGATTCACATGCAAACTACTTCAAGACGCTAAGTATACACGGATATTACAATGGACTGATATTGAACACGAAAACGATTTGTTCTGCTCAATTCAAGGTATGTGAGTTTGACACAAGAAAAGATCTCTATTCAAAACTGTTTTCTCAAGTTTTTCTTTTCTATTAACGATTTCATCGTACAATAACTTTGTACAGGCGTTAGAAGTACAGGATCGAATCAATGGGAACAAAACCGGCATTGCAATCGGCGATTTCTGCCTGATAACTCCTGCCTTTTCTCTGATTGTGAGTACTTTGTGTCATTTTATTGTAACATTTGTATTAATGCGATTTCATTCACTCATTGCAGTTTATTCTGGAAAATATCAACTTTATTATGCTCTTAGCCGTTAACGTCAGAACGATGATTTAATATTTTAATATTAAAATGCAATGAAATTGAGACGATCAACGAAGGACTGAAAATTAATCATTAAATTGTATTGCATATCGAGTTGTTGATCGCTTCTTGCAAAATAATGCTGCTTATGAATTGCAATAACAATTGAACATTGATTCTATTTGATTCATAATTTCAACATAACCAGAAACTATTCAGATCGTAATACAATCGATAAAAGCAAAATTCGAAAACAGCAATTTACAAAAATAATCGAGTTAGCAAAAGATTTAGAATGAAAAATTTTTCAGCACAATTTTGCTCAATATTCCCAATCAAGTTAACTAAGAAAATGCAAAATTACAATTTCACTTCGTTTACTCAGGCATCGACATTGATCTTACCAACTTTTATGACAAAATTGCATTTAGTCACTTTGTTTCAGTTCGTTTTGGAAGATACTGGAAATTTCGTTTGACGGAGACAGCTTTAAGAAAAAGAAAGTGTAAATATGGAAGAGGCCACTAGTCGTAAAAGAAAGTGTTAAGAGTTAATCCTTTAAGAATGGGCCAGACAATGTTAAGTATAAAGAAGACGGTGAAAATTCCGAACAAGACACAATTTTTAGAAACAATAACTTCTGTCTGGATACATTTATTAATATAAGACTGAATTTTCTTTTAATAACTTTTACAATCATGAGAGCTGATAGCGTGAGATGCAGCTCTCACTCCTTCATGAACCTGATCAGGTGTAGTTGATCTACACTATTTTTACCTTATTATAACACGAAAAAGTATTTTCGCCTCGCTCAAAATTTTCACCGTCTTCGTTATTCTTAACAGTAAATTACTTAGATGGAGTCAGCCTTAAAGAATGTAGAGAACCGTTTACGACTAGTGGCCTTTTCAACAGTCGTAAACGGTTCTCTACATTCTTTAAGGCTGACTCCATCTAAGTAATTTACTGTATCGAAACATTTGATATCTAATACAAAATGATCATCGCGCTCACGAACATTACAATAGATTTCATTAAACAGTGCAAAGTATCGACTTAATTTTGTTAATATTCACAATCGAGTTGACTAAGAAAATGAAAAATTAAAATTTCGCTCCGTTTATTCAGCATCAACATTGATCTTATCTTTCATGACAAAATTGCATTTTTTTGTCAAACTTTTTTCACTCTATCATTATCATGTTCAATGTTTTCACTGATTTGGAATAATTTAATTTGCTTATCAAATAACAAAAACTCCCTGCAATATCATTCCTCTCTTGCTCATTTTCCATTCTCACTTTGGGTCACATTATTTCTCTAAATGCTCCAAATCATCAGCATCATGTTAACATGATAAACATGGATAAAGACACACAAAGTTAAAACATTTCCACTTGTCTGAATCTCTTAAGATTACAAGGCAAAAACAATCTTCTTCTTGTCCTGTTAATTGGCCGACTTGTTGGTGGTCAGTATCATCAGTTGTATCAAATAGTGATGCTATAAAATGGTCAGAAAGAGCAAAAAGAAGAGGAAAAAAAGTTTCAAAGACAAGATAATTTCCATAAGCAAGGAAGAAAAAATAAAGATGAAGAAGAAGCAAAGAAAAAGATAAAAGATGAAAAGTGAAAAAAAGGTGAACATGAAAGGAAAGCTTAAAAGCTCATTCAACTTAAGATAATCTGAAATGAATTGGGAGTGTTTTTTCAAGCAAAGATACAAGTAAAGATTTGAGTGAAAATGTTTCACTATCATAATGACGAAGATGACTGTTGACATTTTAGTTGATCCCACTTTTGTCCTCTCATCTCAATATCAGTGTGACAGTTTTATCACTCACTTGCCATGTTAAAACAAGATGGTCAACGCCATGATAAGAGGCCAAAAGAAGCAGCAAAAAAAATGAAACGAAAGAAAAGCCATTTTCGTTTCGACCTTTTTCCATTTTCCTTTCCTTTTCCAACCATTGTTGCAAGTTAATCAGGATTGGACAAACAAAATATTCATCATTAGCAGTTATTTTCTGGTTGAATCAGACAATCTCTGAATAATAATAGTTCGGTTCCACTTCGTTTTTCTCCATGTTGTCCATTTAATGACATTTCAAGTCCACCCGAGTTTTTCCCTTCCCAGTTCGACTAATGAAAGACTCGAATATTATTAATAACGTGAAACTGTTTAATATTGAGAGCTGCGATATTAGGCTGATCAAACCTGCCCATTCCTGGCACAACATTAGTCTATGTCCAGTGTGACTGACCAATGAACGTATTGAAGAGTGAAAAGAAAGAACAATTTTTTTTATCTCATTTTTTTCTCTTCTTTTGTTTCTTCAACATTCATTATGATAATAATAACCAGTCAAAATGATAATAATAGTTGTATAATAATAATGAATGTTAAGAGGATGTAATGATGATGGCAAGGAAAGCGACAGAATCATTAACCTGGAAACAAGTGGAGGAAAGATGATCAAAATGATGATCATCATGATGATGAAAAGAAGAAGAAGAAATTACTATTAATGGTAAATGAAAAGATGAATGTTGAACGAAGGGAAAGAAAGATGAGGCGTAACTTTGGCTACTTTTTGTGTGTTGTTTAGCATCTCATATAATCTTTATTCATGTGATTCCGTAATGAATATCAGAGGAAACATGAAAAGCTATCTGAATTAGATGATCAACAAGATACTCATTACTTCTCATGTGTAACCTTCAAGTGAATGGAGTAAAAATTTTGTTCAACACTCGTCTTGTTTTATATCTACATTGAAGTCAACAATCCAAATCCAGACACAAGTACATTTTGTAAGGTCATTAATTAACTATAGATATTCATTGTTATCATGGAGAGAATGAAAAAAAATTGAACGTGAAAAAGGTTCGAATCGTTTGTTACTTTGTCAACTCGAATGTTGTCGAAATAATTAATCAACATTAATCAAAATGGTAACCGAAATTAATCTGAAAAAGGTTAACATTCTGAAGGGTAGAGTTACCCAAGATAAATTAATTTCATTTTGCTTTGGATCTAGATAAAGTATTCAAATACTTAAAGATCCATACTTTTCATTTTGTAATTTTTCATTAATCCCTTTCTTTCTTTTGTTTGTAAAATTGTCAATGGAGACACAGTTTCCTTTCTTTCCTTTCTTCATTTGTCTTCCTTTTTTGCTAAGGTTTCAAAACCTTTCATTTCCTTCCGTTAACAATAGTATATATTGAGACAATTTTGCCCTTTTGATTTATGTTCATTATCTTCAGTTCTAATGATTTAATTACTGTTTAAATTACTTATTAATCAAGTTCTGATTACTCCTGGTATTGGAATACCAAGTCGGTTTAATCCTGTCCTGCTCTTGAATTAATAAAAGTTTCCTAAAATTTCTAGTTCTAAGTTAAAGTATTCAAATACTTATTACTCAATGTGTTTCAACTATTAGTTTGCTTTAAAACGCGATAGTTCATTATTTGTGCCAGTCTTGTTTGACCTTAATTAGCTATTTCTAGCTGGGTGGTAAAGTATTCAAATACTTATAATTTTGGTCTTGTTGGTCAGCTTAAGTAAGCTAAGCTTTAAGTGCTGTTAATCTTTGTGTTGGACACACTTCACAAGTCTTCTTACTTTGGTCAGATTGTGGTTAAGATTTTGGTAAATCTTTGGTTAGGATTGGAATCCTAAAAGTAAACTAAAGTAAAACGAGTTGTAATTAATAGTTCGAGGTGATCCTTAAAAGAACCTGAATTTCAGGATTTGAGAGGCTGAATAAATCTTCTGTTTTGTGTTAATTGTTTGAATCTGAATTCAACTTTAATTTAATTCAACAAATGAGTAACTCTTCCTTTCAAATGGCGACCACGGCAGGATCGCCCACGTTTCCTGTTAATTACGATTACTGTTTTATGATAACTGGAGATGAAAATGATGGTGTTGGTGAAACTGTAACAATGACTCTGAAAGTCATGGACATTGAAACAATCAAGGTGTTCTTGAAAAAGTGGGGAGTAAAGTTCATCACTAATGAACAAATTATAAAGAAAAAGTTCTTTGATGCAGTTCAAACTATATTGTTATTAAATGGTGTACCGAATGCAACTCAAGAATTAATGGACTCAACTCCTGTTGGTGATGTTATCGAAGATATGCCTTCATGGCTTACTGAACTTAGAGAGAAAAATATTTCTGAGTCTGATATTAGAGAGATAATAGTTAAAGTTGGTCCTGATCCCCCTACAATGATGCTGAACACTGAAGCGATGATTGAAAAATTAAAAGTTAGTTCACCAGCGAAGAGGTTAATGGTTAATATGATTTCGAAGTGGAGTCGAACTGAATTAAATCCGGTTACTGTGAAACCTAATTTCAATTTCAATGAACTAATGAGAGAATCGGAAGGTAATGATGGTGATGAAGTTTTTCAACAACCAAGTACTTCCAATGCTCAAAGAAATCTTAGATCTAATGATGAACATCGAGTTAGAATTGAGGATCGGAATCCTCCTAATGCTGATTTAAGTCAAAGTTACGCTGATGATTCAAGGCGTGTTGGTAACGATAATCCAAGATTAAGTATTGGCGCTGTATCGAGTGATCGTGTTAAGCCGAAGCTACCGAAATTACCCAATTTTACTGAAGGCATGGATGCCTGGGGTTGGCTTCAGACTATTAAACGTCAACTTAGTTTGGAACGATGTCATGATGATGACAAATTATATGTATTGCAGAAGGCAATGGCATACGAGTTTCTACCTATCGCTAAGAAATTAGATGAAGAATCTCATACTAGTACTAGTTACATTCAAGCTCTAGAACTAGCTTTAAGGAACCCTGCGTGCATTTCTCAGGCGACCTCTGAATTTCACAATTTCAAATGGTCTTTTGATATGCCTCCGATTGAGTTCATAAGGAAGCTAGAGCAAATGGTGTTAAAAGTAAAAGGAGAGCCTTCACCTACCGAATTTATTCAAGATATCTTAATCAGAGTTCCTGCTGAACTTAAAGATATATTGATTAGAACCAGATCAGTTAGTAACATTGA